TTTACCATCACACCACGGCTTAAGGGTAAATCATTATAGCTACATATACTCAATCATCAATGTACAAGGATAGAGATAACTCCAAACTCCATAATCAAACTAAACAGCAGAGAATGAAAGGTCTAGTAGTATCTGTTTCATATCTGTCCTTGGGGCCCAATAAAAAAAAGCTTTTAGCATTTATCAATAAAAGACTTTCATTTTCTCAGCACTTCTGAATGTCCCCCAAAAGGCGCTATGGGGAAATTCCTAGCTACTCACTACTTCTCTTATGTTGCCTCCTCACTGGAGTATCGAAACTTCTGGGTCTTAAGAAACTTGTCTCTGTGGCTTAGAAATATCAAAGCATGGTATGAAATGCAGGACTGTAACTATGAACTAACAATGCAGGTTTGTGAAAAATTGACCACAGGTATCTTAGAGAAATACTAAAATACTGAGAATTCCAGAAAAAGAGATACATCTTGCGTAGGCAGTGTTTGCAAAAGAAGAAAAAGACAATCTCACTTCATCTTAAGTCAGAGCTTGACAGCCTCATCCATTTCACCGTTTGGCTGTCTTCTCTTTTCCTTTCTGTTTCAACTTCTGGTAAAACGAACTGGCATTATCTTCCAGGCACTTGTATTATTTAAAAACAAACATCCTTCTAGATTTAACATGTCTGCCTGTACTTTAGATACATTTCAACTTTTTTTTTCCAATACATAACATACACACAATTTATAGAAAGTTTCTACAACACAGTTTTAGATAGTTTCCTTTTTATTCTTCACCCACATTTTAAGAAGTCTGATGCTTTAATCCCACTCTTATAAAATTAGAAGGGTGACTAAACTACCCATCGAGGAAGAAAACACAAAGAACTAACTAGTAATTTGAGCCTTCTAAAAATATTTCATGTCGAGAACATTTTAAAAGGAATGAAAAACAAAAACCTGATAGAAGATTATCGTCCAAACAACATGCAGCCAGGATCACCATTAGAATATAGTTTGCACACCTGCCCTTAAGAAACAACAGAACAGTCAAGACTTCTAGGAACAAAATACACAAACAAAAACTTCTAGGTCCATTATGCACAAACACTGGAAACTCATTTGAGGATGGGTAGTGGTTCTGGAAAGAACCTTGGGTTCAAGATGTCTTTAGATAAAAAGTGAACACTCAGAGTAAAGAAAAATCAAAAAACACAGAAAAAGGAGAAGTGGAGAAATGAAAATGTGTCCCACTATCAGAGTCTCCAAAGAAGTCCTGGTGTCACAAAGGTTAAGCACTCGGTGACTATCAGGAAGCCTGACAGTTCTAATCCACCCAGACCTCCCTAGGAGAATGGCATGGCGATACACTCTCCTAAAAATTTGAGCCCAAAAGCTTCCATTGGTTATATTTCTCATGTCTGGGGAGCAGTTCTATTGTCACTTGGGTTTACCCTCAGTTACAAATCAAAACCTGACTTGGCAGCACCCAACACGGCGTCTACAGTTCGAGTGCTGACTCAGAGGTCAGGCCACTGTGGATATAAGAGTTGGGAAACACTAAAGGAGCAAGCGAGGACACAAAGCAGTAAAGTAGACAGAGCAGGGACAAGCTACATCCCTGAGAGCTTGGCAAATTACAAATAGCTATTTAGAAAGACCCAAATGCTGAAATAAGTCGCTCTCTCATGCTATCTTAAATAGCAGTTTAGTTTTGTTTTGTTTTTTAATTAAAACAGAGTAAGAAATAGAATTTACACTTAAACTCAACACATGCTCATGTATACAATATACAATAATTAACACAGAAACTTCTCTAAATAGTAACTACCCTTACTATGTGTAGTGCACTCTACCATAGTATTTTGGTTCATATTATTTTCTTTTTCATATAAAAGAGTTACTGGACCTAATGAATAAAATTGATTTTAAAACCCGTTCTGTTGTACATAGGGCCTCTATGAGTCAGAATCGACTCAACTGCACCTGACAACAACAATAATGCATCATAACTGAAGGCTCTCTTAGATCATTTTTATTGTTAAGTGCCATTGAGTCGGTTTTGACTCTTAGCAACCCTGTATAGGGTTTCCAAGGAGTGGAACCACTGATCTTGCAGTCCAGGGTATCAACCCGCAGCACCACGTCATGTTGTTGTTGTGAAGTGCCATCAAGTTGGTTCCGACCCATAGCGACCCTGTATAAGGTTTCCAAGGAGCAGCTGGTGAGCTTGAACCATTGATGTTGCAGTTCAAACGATTTTGCAGTCTGACGCATTAGCCCACAGCGCCACACCAGGACTCCGTCATACTTCAGTTCAAATCCTGTCTCTCCACTAGTTACGTTTCTCTCTTGCTTTAGAAAAGGGTTCAAACCAGCCTGGTATTTTGATCTTTTATCATCCTCCTCAAGCCATTTTTCCATCTTAATCTTCTACAACACCTCCTCGAGAAGCCTGCATCTCTAAAACTGATCTGCTTGCTACCCTGTCACGTTTTACACATCCCACTGTTGCTTGTCTCTAAAATGCTTTGTTTGCTGTTTATTTCCACCCATCCAAATCCATCTGATCCTCTAAGGTCAGCTAATGTGACCCCTCCAAATAAACCAATTTCTCCTGTCTCCAGACGTGGATGTACTTGATCTTTACTAGACACACCCTTCCAGCCCTGCCGTCATCTCCTGCATGCTCCACTCTCAGAACCAAGCACACAGCTTTACAGGGGAAATGACCTGGAGTGTTGGCCAAAGAACCGAACATACATCTTCCATATAGAAACTGCCTACAAGGGTGACTGAGGCTACAGGTTCAGAAATTTTAGGTCAGGGAGCAATCTTGCAAGATTCCCTTACCCAAACTAGAGCCTCATATTTTCTTCAGCAGATATTCTACCTGTAGCTTTTGAAGAAAGAGTTAGAACAGCATTACAAAAATAGTCACTTTAGTCAAATTTTAATAGAACGTTTCTTTCAATTAAATAAAGTAACCTAAACGTAGATAGGAATTTAGCAATAAAGCCACGTTTCATATTTTAACTCCTCTTACTTAAAAATCTAATCTCTCAATTGAGATAAAGCTATGTATACGACAGATGGGACGACACTTAGCAAAGTATCTCACCAAGCTTTTTCATCTCTGGTCATCAGAATACAGGGCCACCGTCTGCTATCCCTCGAGTCAGATCTCCTTCCTGATGACCACAATCCTTCACTTAAATTATTTCCATGTGTCTTATTTCAAGAACAAAAGCTTCCATCACATATTTTCACTTCAGTGTCCTCCAATTAGTTAAAGTAAAATAACTTACTTAGAACTAGTCAGAAATATTAGCATCTAAGGTCTTAAATCTATATGCAAATATATTTAAAACTGATCTGATCACTTCCTCATTTGATAAATATTTAACAAGTAACTCAATAGGAGTTTGAGGCACTAAACAGAAAATGCTGCACTTCTAAAGCAAAGAAGATAATTGGGTAATGACAGATTCAAACTCATTATCTGAAATGGAAAATCATGCACATATGCTCACATTACTGTAGTAGAAAAAAAAAATCAGTAAGCAATAGTAGAGAAGAAAATTCTAAAGGTAATGTCAAGGTAAAATAGTCCAAGCGAATATACAGTATGAAAAACTACAAAGAGGAGGAAGGAAGTGAAAGACAAAAAGTAACATAAACCCTTAGATAGGGTGCTAATCCTTTTGCTAATACTGTTCAACTGTGAAAGCAATCAGAGTAGATATTAAATATCTGTACAGAATATTCCATCGTTGTTTGGTATTCCTGGGGGACTGGTTCCAGAACTCCAGAGGATACCAAAATTCACAATTGCTCAAGTTTCTTATAAAATGACTGGTAAGTCACATATAACCCACACATGTCCTCCTGTAGTCTTTAAATCACCTCTAAATTACTTTTAATACCTAATGTTGTTGTTGTTAAGTGCCGTCAAGTCGGCACAGTGACCCTGTATAGGGTTTCCGAGCAGTGACTGATGGGTTGGAAATGCCAACCTTGAGGTTCAAAGAACTTTGCGGTCGGTCCAGTGCATTAACTCACAGTGCCACACCAGAATACCTAATACAATACAAATTATATGTAAATATTGCCTTACAGTCCCTCTTAGCCTTTGAAGGCCTGCTTTCATCACTTACTGCTTTTTGGAAACCATGTTTTCACAGAGACAAGGATGCACACCACACAGGTCGTGAATGAATGAGACCCGAGGCGAGGACTGTTCACAAGGAGTGTGGAGGGAGACTGAGGGTCTGTGGAATGACAGGAGGCTACATACAGCAAGGCATGTCTACACATGACTTCATTAACATGGATTTGGTGTAGTGCTTGGAACATGGAAAAAATTTTTTTCTGAATATTTTCAACCCACAGTTGGTTAAATTTGTGGATGAGGAACTCGTGGATACAGGGAGCCAACTACACATGCATTACAACATTTGTAGAGTAGAATGCATTAACACTGTTTTATAATGAATGGTCGGTCCTTTCCTTTACACTTCACATAAACAGAACACATTGCTTTTGTTCAAATAACTCTGATGCTTTAAGATGTATCAAATAGTTCCACCAGGCTCTATGCGAAACTTTCAGTTACTTTAAGTTAGGTAGCCATGCCACTGGACAGCAGGGACCAACCTGTAAGTCATCATCCCAGCTCAGGAGTCAGATGAAGAAGCCCCCAGTTAATTCCAGCCTGCCTACACCTTCAACAGCAGAGATCCATTTTCCACTGTGCCCTATCCAAATTCCTGACTCACAGATCCTGTGAACATAATAAAATCATTGCTGTTTTATATCATTAAAGTTGGGTATTTATCCCACTAACTATTCAAATAAAATTATACAAACAGGCAGTAATCTTACATCTATAAGTAGATATCTTTAAGAATGACAGTTTAAAAAGGGACCAAATAAATGCATGGATGGTTATCTCATTATTTTTACTGTTGTATTATGCCTTATTGCAAACACATGCTAATATTCTCAATGAATCCTTGGTCTTACCTTAGATATGTGCCATATATGAAGAATAATGCCATCATTAGTCCATTTAAAATAAAAATTACAGCGACATAAAAGCAAGCAGGATCTCCTAATCCTTTAAAAATAATCAAAACATTAGTTACCAGCAATAAATTCATTTAGGTGTCTAGCAATTTTCATTAAAATGTGCTCATTTTGAAAAATAGTTCCCATGCGGAAACACAACACTACAGCAGAAGATAGGAAAGAACAGGATAGTAGCTTCTTGGTTTTTAAAACAAGGCTGCAAATTATCTGCCACTTCTGTTGAGATGTGGGATCTACACTCAGGGCCTTTGAGCCTGGCTGGGTTTATGATTGCTTCAACAGGATGTGGCAGATAGGATACGATGGGACTTCCAGGGCTAGGTCCTAAGAGGTCATGCAGTCTCCAGCTTGTTCACAGGAATGCCCTCTCTTGCAGCCCTGAACTGCCATGTGAAAAGTCAGACTACTCTGAGGTACCATGCTAGAAAAAAGTTCACATGTAGGCATCCCACTTGTCAGCAGGGATCAACCTTTAAGTCATCATCCCGGCCCGGGAGTCAGACATGTGAGTGAAGAGGTCCCCAGCTAATGCCAGCCTGACCAGCCCTCAAGTTTGTGAGTGAAGAGGTCCCCAGCTAATGCCAGCCTGACCAGCCCTCAAGCTTTAATAGCAGAGACCCACTCCACTGTGCCCTATCCAAATTCCTGGTCTTGCAGATTCATGAACATAATAAAATCGCTTTTGTTTTATATCATTATACCCAGGCTTTTATCCCCTACCTATGCTGCAGCAGACGAGAGGACAGACTCAAACAGAGAGCCTTACCTTCACAGCTTTCAATGGGACTGAGACCTTCTCCTCTAGTCACTGTCCAACATATCTTGGTTTGAATACCAATCAAGTCCATTATTTTGGTATAAATCCGGTACCAGCTGGCTAAGATTACCTATTCAAAAAATCAAGATATATTAATAAAAGATATTGTTCTCAACAACTTACAGAACTAAAGTATTTTCCTTTCCTGGGTCATACAGTCTTGGTCCCCTTCTTTAAATCTAACATAATGAACCCCAGAATCCTATGTATAGATTCTTCACTGGTCAGTCTTTAACTGGTCATAAATATGGAAAATTTCTCTTTTTAAAAAGCTATGTGACAGGACCATCAAGGGAAAAGAGCATGAGTGGAATGTGAGACCCTATCGAGAGCAGCAGTGACACCAGAGATGGAGGCAGAGATGAGGACATGGAGAGAGGGAAGTGCTGAGGGCTCGGGACTCATGAAAAGAGAGGGACTGAGTGCTGGCAGCCAAGAGGCAGTCTTGCAGAATGTGCCCTTTGATTGTTTAAATTATTATGCTATTGAATGATGATGCACAGAGGAGATTGTAATCATTGCAATGAAACAATGAATGTAAAACCCATGTTGTCCCATGTAAATTATCACTCAATTCACAATAAAAACTTTTATTAAACAAAAAGCTTTGTGACTCTTGGAGTCCTGGTGTGGCATTGTGGGATAAAGCACTGGACCACAAGGTTGGCTTGAACCACAAGGTTGGCAGTTCAAGCTCAACATCCACTCCTTGGAAACCCTATATAAGGTCACTATGAGTCAGAAACAACTCAGCGGCACTTAACAATAACAAGTACAATGTGACTCTTACTAAGGGACATAAAATAAGACTTAAACAAATTGAGAGATACCATGTCTTGAGTCCCGGTATAGCGCTGTAGGTTAATGTGCCAGGCTGTAAAGCCGTTTGAACTGCAAAGTCGGAGGTTCAAGCTCACCAGCCGCTCCTCAGAAACTCAGTACAGGGTCGCTATGAGTCAGGATCAACTCGATGGCACTTAACAATAACAACATGTCTTCTTGAATAGAAGAACAACTAGTAAACCTTTGTCATCAGGTCAATCCGACCCGTAATGACCCCACGTAGTACTCAACAGACTGCTTCATGGGGCTTCCTGCTACGATCTTTATGAAAGCACATCACCACACCTGTCTTCTGTGGAACCACAGGGTTGGCTTGAACTGTCAACCTTTAGGCTACTTACTGTTGTTGCTGTGTCTCACAGCGAACCTATATGACAGAGTAGAACTGCCCCCAACAGGTTCCTGAGCTGTAACCTTTATGGGAGCAAATCGCCAGACCTTTCTGGGCTGCTGGTGGTGGAGTCGGTTCCAACTCATAGCAACCCTGCAAAGGGTTTCCTAGTCTGAAATCTTTACAGGAACAGAAAGCCTCATCTTTCTCCTGTGGAACAGCTGATAGTTTCAAACTGCTAACTCTGAGGTTAGCAGCCCAACTCATATCCACTACGCTACTCCAACTCATAGCGACCCTGCACAGGGTTTCCAAGACCGTAAATCTTCACAGGAGCAGAAAGCCTCATCTTTCTCCAAAGGAATGACTGGTAGTTTCGAACTGCCAACCTTGAGGTTAGCAGCCCAATTCGTAACCACTACGCTACCAGAGGTCCTTCACTATGCTACTAGCCATGAAGAAACCATTTGTACCACCCAGGGGCCTTATATATCGTCTTGAATAAAAGTGAATTCTCCCTCAAATACATTCTGAACATAAAACCATTCATTTAAAAACTTCAAGTGTCTAAAATTTACCTAGAAAAATCAAAAAAAGGAGACAACTGAAGGGAAGTCCTAGTAAATACAAAAACTTCTTATTTATGATAATTCAAAAATGTGGTATTGGCACAAGAGTAGCTAGACAGACCAACGTAAGCATGGTGGAGGTGGTGGCGCATTACCCAGAGCCCTCTTTAGGGCCGAGGTACTCATGCCCGTATATCCAGGACATAGCGCACACAGCTCTTGGCTGAGATGTCTTTGGAGAATGGTGTGACCTCCTCCTACCCAAGGGCAATGTGCAACCAATGACCAACTGACTGGTCCACAGGAAATAACAGAAAGGCTCTGGACCCTCGCCTTACACTGGAGAACTCTTACAATTCAATAGGAGAGGATGGACTCCCAGTGAAAGTGTTAGGTAGACAACAAAAGACCATTTTGTTGGCTGTCAAGTTCATTCCATCCCCTGGTGATGCCATGTGTGGGGCCTTGAACAATGCACAGGCCTGAGTCAGATGCGAGGATGATAAAGGAAGCAGAATATTTGTCTTCCTCCTCGGTTCCTTGCCCGCCTCCATTCCCCTTCATCCAGCCCCAAGGAAGAGTAGCCAGCACTATGAGGAGTCCCAGGCACGGAAGAAACAGTATTTAGAAAATGACCATGTAAAAGTATTGGTGGTCCCCTACTATCAACTCTAAGTGCTCACAATTGTAGACAGTTTTTATATTTCCTAAACCAAGAACCACAGCAATAGTTCCCAAAGAATCAAAGTCTCCCAGAATCAGCATTGATGTTTTTCCTTATTCCTTCGTAAGGAAAGATACACCATTATCCTTAAAAAATAAAAATGCAATAACATTTAATATCTTGAATTATATCTTAGATTTAAAATCAATTTAATGCAAATCAGTGTACAATTAAAAAAAAAAAAAAAAAGCGAAAGCACTCACTTGAAAGAGTAACTTACCTCGGGATACAGATTGAAGCGTTTTAAGGTGTTAATGACAAGAGGGTATTCAGTAAGCCTATCATTCATAATCATCCACACGCCCGTCAAAAATGAGGGTGCTTCCACAATCGTCTTGAAGTAGGAATAATACAGTCCCTGAAATAAGCATATACTCCAGTTACAATCAAAGGTACATAATGACTATGCCTCTTTTCAGCTTAAAAGAAAAAAAACAAAACAACAGAAACTTAAAATATACTGCTTTAGAAAAACAAAGCAACCAAGCAAGTGATACCTATAATTAATTTCACAGGTTTCTGATCACTGATAAAGTCTTAGGTTGCAAAATTATACATATTTGAGTATAACCTTGTCTTAACTGAAACACGTAAGGTTAGAATTACTTCAAAAATAGTTTTAGTACTTATAAGAATAGTAGAAACTCGGCAAGCTTCACCTAAGAGAATTCTATAAGCCATACGAACGTAAGCAGTTAAGAAGAGGCTAGCTATGAGCAGAATGAATAAATGATTTCACATGGACTTAAATTTACCATGAGCGAAACAAATCTCCCAAAGTTAAAAAAAATGCTTCTTTCTGTCTACTTGAACCCCCAAAGCAACACTATCAGCCATTTTTGTCTCCAAACTTACAGGCCAAAATGGGTATTTGTTGGGAAGGCTGCACAGTGCTGAGTTACATAAAATTACAGTGCAGAGCCATCTAATTTTATAAATGACTTGACTTGCTGTCATTTTAGCTCCATTAATATTAGGAATCCTTCCTTTGGAATTAGGGCTCTGGGGTCAGGACTGGGAAACAACGGTGGTGGTCCTGTTTTGTGAGAAAGAGATCACTTTTTACTTATTACTTTGAAAAGGTAGCAGGGGTGGAGTAATACATGGGACACAAATTAATAAAGTACCGGAAACCTTCAGTGAGAGTATAATTGGCTATAAATAAACTCAGGGCACGAACTCCATCTTCCAAACCATTTTACCAGGAGCTGCCCTGTGAGGCATGAAACTGATTTGCCTGCCCAGATATGATCTGAACATGAAAAATAGAAAACAAGCTTTAGAGATACCTAAGAAGGAGCTCTGGTGGCGCAATGGTTACGAAATGGGCTGTTAATCTTATGGTCAGCAGTTCAAAACTACCAGCTGTTCCGCGGGAGAAAGATGAGGCTCTCTGCTCCCACAAAGATTTACAGCCTCGGAAACCTTGTACAGGGTCGCTATGAGTCAGAACCGACTCCACGGCACTTAACAACAACAACAACAAAGCACTTACAGATGAAATGCTACAATGTCTGAGATTTCCTTTAAAAAGTGTTTGTGAAGCCGGGTGCCCATGAAACAAAAATGGCCATGTGTTGTCAACTGTCAAATGATGAAGCCTGGGGATATTTAGCAGGGAATTGTCTACTGACTCTTTCTACTCTGGAATATCTTTGAAATTTTTCACGATAAAAAGATGAAAATATTTAAAATTTCTAAAGTGCCACAATACAATACCACAAGAAAACGAACCATTTCAGTGCGAAAAGCCATCTCCCTTTCCAATGTGGAGAGATGAGAAAAATGACGATCATTTTCAAAGAGGTGTGTTATATGACTCCTGCAAACACAAGAGAATAAAGCGACAGTGTTGAAACGTACAATGAAGTATTATCATTAAAAGAAACTCTACAACAGCAACAATAAAATCATCGACAATTTAGGAGATTTTTAAAGTAAAATTCAAATTCAATGTTATCCATGTGCACTTTCACTATAGGGAAAGCACTGAACTGCTAGTGGTCCAAACTCACCAGCAGTTCTTAGAAACCCTATACAGGGTCACCTATGAACCAACTCAATAAAGCTTAATAAAAATAGCTTATGTTTCTACTAAGATTTCTCTCTGTAAGAAAACACATTCAAATTAGAATTTAAAATTACAGTGAACTGGAATAATGATATTTTAAGTAAAGTACTATAATAAAATTGTATATTAAGCTGTAAATGCCACTGAGCTACCATTTCAGAAATATCTGATTAATGAAATTCGTATTTCTTTCTACCCAGAAGATTAAAAAAATTAATCTGCTTCTCAACATGAAGACTGTATTACTATTAAACGAAGTCGAGTCTTAAATATAGCCGCTTTAATAATGGATTTCTTTTTTATTAAAAAGCTATATTATTCTGACCTGGACTTATCAATTAAACTTATCTTTTTTCAGACTACTGTGTTCAGACTACTGTGTCACATGCGAGATTCGTACATTATCATACTGACATTATTCCTCTAAAAATATAGGAGGTAGTTTGGGCAAGTTATAAACATCTGCATAAAAATTACCATATGAGGAAACACAGTCTTACCAGTGCATCACCGCTGCAAAGGCAGCTGGAAGAAAAAAGAAACTCGTATTACTGTTTTAGCATAAGGGAATGTTTTCACCTCAAAGATAAACATGTCAAAGCTTATGATGTGTAAATGCTGGATTCTTAGGGGACGTGGGAAAGAATACTGACTTCAAAAGCAGTGCCAAGGCTATTTAAAATACTAGTAGCTTGAGTCATAAGAGGATTAGAAGTTTATGTACAATATGCATCCATTCACTCATTTAACAAAAAATATTAGGGCCTACAGGAATCGTCAGATGGAAACTACCCAAAATGCAGCTGAGGCAGAACTAGAACCAACAGGAAAGATAACTTGAAATAAATAAATATGGCGGCACTGGGAAACAGGGTCAGAGTGGAAAACAGAGGGGACTAAGCTTTATTTTATTTTATTTTGACTCCTGGTGTGGTACTGTAGGATCAGCACTGGACTGCAAACCACAGGCCAGCAGTTCAAAACCATCAACGGCTCCTCTGAAACCCTATACAGAGGGCATGTAACACTAACAGCAGTGACTGTTTACTTTCTATACTTCTGTGAGGTCTCAAGCTTTACAGTGAATTGCATTGCTCTTCTTTTTAAAAAAAGCAAAAACAAATTTAAAATGAAGTAAGTAAGGGAGCATGGGAAAAGGAAAGAGAAACATAAACAAGCAAAGACTAAAACCATTCTCCTATGAGAGTCAACATTTGCTTTCAGTCCAACTACAAAGAAGATGTTAAGATGAATGCATAAAGTACTATTCAATCTTATATTGCAATCAGTAATGATTGCAGACTTCTGACTAAGTAGCTGCTAACTACTAACGGAACTGTGAAAATACATTAGGACTGAAACCAAACACTAGCTCATATCTTAACGCCTTCTTCTTAAAAGAAATATTGATAACTTGATAAATTAATATATTTTGTCTAGGCGATACTAGTGGTTAAAAAAGATAGTTTACTCTTTCTAGGTCATTGAGTTGCAAAGATTTAACTCAATTTGTCAAGTAATATTTGTTTTACATAAGGTACTTAAAACCTTTCGGGGGAAATTTAATTTTTTTTTTCTGTTGACAAATCTATCATTCATTTCCTTTTCTGTTTCTCTGCCTGCAAAGTCTCTCCCCAATAGCAACATTTTGCCTTCATTTTTTAATAAATCATTCATCTCTCACTGGAGAGAAATCCCACCTCTACTGTACTACATAACTGTCACACACATACAGAAAAATATGACTGTGACACTTACACTTTGGTAATCCCTTTGAGATTATCACTGGAATTTCATTTATAAATTAACTTGAGAAGATACATGTTTACAACTGGAATTTTCAATCCATAAAAATGGTACACACCTTCTATTCAAATTGTCCTAGAGAAAATTCTTACTGAATTCTGCATAGTTTGTATTTTTTAAGTTTTTACCTGACAGTTTAATCTTTTTTCCTGCTAGTATACATGAAGGGTGGAGTAGGATCAGCACTGGACTGTGAACCGCATGGTCAGCAGTTCAGACCCACCAGCCCCTGCGTGGAAATCCTATACAGGGTTGCTATGATTTGAAACTGACTCAGTAGCGTACAACCACCACCAATATACATGAGATCTTTTTCTACTATGATGTTATTGTTGTTAAGTGTTGTCGAGTCAGCTCTGACCCATAGCAAGCCTGTATAGGATTTCCCAGGAAAGGCTAGTGGTGAGCTTGAACCACCGAACTTGCAGTTCAAACCAACTTTGCAGTCCAGCTCATTAACCCACAGCGCTACACCAGAACTGGATATTGTTACTGCATTTATTTAAAATTATATTGTATAATTTGATTTTGACTTTACTTATTGAACTAGTCTTATAAATTTTTGATTTATCATCTTTAATTCATTTAAAATGTTATTTATAAATGATAATTTTGCTCCCATTTTACTGCCAGTTTGTTATTTTTTTCTCATTTGACAGTAACAATAAATTTCCAGAATACTGCTATATAAATCTGGTAAAAGAGGGCACCCTTGTCTTGTTCTGACTTTTAACACCAATGCATTTATTCAGTTAGCCCCTGACCTTTACAATCCTAGAGTGATAAAGAATAGGATTTCTCAAGGTCATCATCTCTCTACTTCCCAAAATACCCTTCTATACTAGATCTAGTAAGCAAACCTCTGAGTTCCTGGCATGTGAATGATACTCATTTATATATAATCCCCAAGGTCAATTCATAATCTGCCAATATTTTGTGTTTCCTTGTACATTTCAATTCAATCATGAAACAGCTAACATTCAAACACTTATTACATACCAGGCACTTTATAGTAATCCTGGTGTGGCACTGTGAGTTAATGAGCTGGACAACAGTCAGTTTGAACCACAAGGCTGGCAGTTCAAACTTACCAGCAGCTCCTCCAAAACCCTATAAAGGGTTGCTGGGAGACTGAACTGACCAGACAGCACTTAACAACAACAGGCATGTTAAAAAGCTTTAACTGCCCTGAATCAATGAATCCTCTTATCATTCCTTGTGATGCTATTACTCTAAGTGCCAAAGAGTTGGTTCCGACCCACAGCGACCCTGCATAAGGTTTCCAAGGAGCCATCTTGCAGTTCAGCGCATTACCCCACAGCGCCACACCACCATCTCTTGTCATTGTTACTAATATTTCCCCAGCATATAGATGAGAAATCAAAGCACAGAGATTAGTGGTTTGCTCAAGGACACACAGCTAGTTAGCAAGGAAACCAAGGCCGGATACAGAAAGTCTGACCTGAAAGCCATGCAGTGCCCAGCAGTCTCTGCTGAGGATGGAAGGGAGACAAAAAAACCAGGCAACCTTGCCCTAGAATAGTTGTACCCACCTCCCTCTTACTTTAAAAAGAAAATAATAAGGCTATAATGCATCCGTTCATATATGTAATATGTTTTATGCTATTGTTGTTAGTATTGCCGAGGTAGGCCCTGACTCGTGGTGACCCACCATTAACAACAGAGCAAATGCCTTCCCTACGACCACTTAGGAATACAACCACAGTGTCCCATAGGGGTTTCTCTGGATGATTTTCAGAAGCAGGTATCCAGGTCTTTCTTCCTAGGTCTTAACCTAGAAGCTCCACTGAAACGTCTTCAGCAGACAACAGGTGGCTGGGCATTAGGTACAATGACAGACAATCAAACCCAGAACTATATGGAAGGCAAGAATTATGTTATGTGTCATTGGGTCACTTCTGATTAACAGCAACCCTGTACAGGGTTTCCAAGGCTGTCAATCTTTAAAGGGGCACAAAGCCTCATCTTTCTCCCATAGAGAGGCTGATGGGTTTGAACTGCCAACCTTAGCAGTCCAGTATCTATCCTATAGTGGCACCAGAGCTTCCTATGTTGTATGTTCTTCTTGTTGTAAAGTGCCGTCAAGTCCGTTCTGACTCATAATGACCCTGACATAGGGTTTTCGAGGAACAGCTGATGCGTCTGAACTTTCAATCTTGTGGTTCACAATCCAATGCTGATCCTACAGCATCACACTACAAGTCTATTAATTTTAATGAAATTTAGAACTAATTAAAAAATTAGAATAAAATGTCATTTGAAATGACATGTCAGCAAAATACTGCCTTGTGAGCAAATAACTTAAGCATAAAGACATAAAATCACAAAAGCTTCTGAAAGTACTCCTTGACAGTTTTTCCTAAGAAAATAATATTCTAACTGATTATTATTCCAGTGATTACCAACGCTGTCTATAGTCTTTTGTGGGTTAGAATAAAATTGATGATCTTTTTGTTTGTTCGGGGTTTTTTTGTTTTTTGTTTTTTTTGCCACTTTTTGGGATTCTAATGGACTGAAGCAGATTTTTTTTCAAAACATTAAAACTATAAATAGTTAAAAAAAAACAACAAAAAAATTCCTAAGAACGAGATACTCAAGGAAAGGCTTGGTTGGTAATCTTAATTCAAAGGACTGTAATCTTTACGCCTGCGAATTTTAAAAAGCTCTTAATGTTTAGCTGGGGAGTCCTGGTATGGTGCTGTAGGATAAGCACTGGACTGCAAGGGTGCTTGAACCACCGGGTCGGCAGTTCAACTTCACAGTCGGTTCCTTGGAAACCCTATCAAGAGTTGCTATGAGTTGGAACTGAATCGATGGCACTTTAACAACATGTTAACCTGGAAGCCCAAAAATTGACTGTACCCTGAGACTAAATTAGATGCTTGAGAATGTTGCACGACTCCATGGCACATAACAACAACAATAATACAGAAAATGCCTACCAGATTTTTTGCCATATTGTATCTATTTCAGTCATATAGGATTTTAGAGACTTCTTCACTTTAAAGTCTTCTATTATTAAAGCCACTGTATAACTAATTATACAAATTAGAATGTAAATCCCTGAGGGCAGGAGCAGTGGCTTTCTAACTTTATCAGGGCTGTACAGTATGAATTTATTAGCACAAAGCCAAGCATACAGGCGAGATTCAAATGTTTTCTGAATTAATGTATATAACTACTATAATTGAGGGGAAAATGAAATACTACTAAACCATGGCCAAGTGACACACCCAAACAGAATAAAATTTATTGCATATATTACATGCACACTCATATGTGTGCATAATAGTTTTTTTTCTTTGTTTTTGTTTTTCAAAAACAGAGCCCTATTTATTCAGTACAAATTAGATACATTGTTTGCACACACAGTTGCAGAAGACCTACAGGCATCTTCAGCCTCCTGGGCATCTCTGTCCAGTGGACTCTCCCTTCTTTATTACTCCTCCTTCTCTAAGGACCCGATTCCCTCCAAGTCCGCCCACAGCTGTCAGCAGCAGTAAAGAGGGCCGAAGGAAAGGAAATCAAATCCTTGGCCAACCAGCTGATTTCAACTCTTTCTAACCCTATAGGATAGAGTACAACTGTCCCCTGAGGCTTCCAAGGCTGTAAATCTTTCCGAAGCAGAGGGTCACATCTTTCTTCTACATAATGGCTGGTGGGTTCAAACCACCTAGCAGCCGAACACTCAACTACAGCACCAACAAGAACCCTGTGTGGGAGGGAGAAAGAAATAGGAAAGAGAACTCTCCCATAATAAACAGTACTCCCTCTCCTCCCGGCAACCTAAGGCTCAGTCTTCTTCTCCTAGCCTCTCCTAGCCTCATCCTCTCCCTCACACTGTGAATAGGTACAGCCTGCCCCCCAGAGTCTCTCTCTGAAGTCCTCAACCCTCTCCATCAGGAAAAGGGGTAAGTAGGAGCCTGGAATCTACATTTCGGAGAGTCTTCTGTGCTTGTGCTTAAACCTCACCCCACTGTTTTTGTCTCTTTTACTCAACTGTGAGACAGCGTAGGCTCCGTGGAGCCCTGGCACACAAGGTGTTTCTAACCACAGATAAATTCTCCATCCAGCTCCCATTCCCTTTACACATGCACTTAATAAGTGGTGGAGGTGGTGATGGTTATGTGCCGTGGAGTTGGTGCCAACTCACAGCGACCCTGTAGTTGAATTTGCATGGACAAAGCACCTTTCATGTACTCTCTCATTTAATTTTCACAACATTTTACAAACAGAGAATGATGGTCAAAGATGTTTGTCCACAAAGAAACGGAGCTGGTAAGTGGGAAGAAATCCTTGAACCAAGATGTTCTCGTGCCAATTCTGGATCCCTTTCACTGTCCAGAGCTGTGCCCTTTACTTTCACATTTGACGACCTCATCTTGCAACAATATTTATATGGAAAAAATGTATGGTAAGTACAAACTGATTTGCATAATTGAAGCTGAATCCATACTTAGATCACGCTTAAGAGTTTTAGCCTCTCTGAGTCTCAAGTGATGAGATGACATAAAAAGAGGCCAAAGGATCCCCTTGCATGTATCTAGACTAAGTTTTCAAATCAACCCTGACAAGCTCTATATTCAACCCCTTCCTAATATTACCTACCAGCCTTTCCCTATTATCCTCAAGGGTTCCATTTAGAGTCTTTAAAGTTTCTTTCTAAGAGCTGAAGTCATCAGTAAATGGCATCCTATACCTCAACAACCATCCATCTTCGAGCTGGGTAGGTCTGAGCATCTCGTCCCCTAACTGCAGAAACCCCTCTGACTTTCTGCAGTCATACCATGGAGTCCCCACTCTGGCCTGTTGTTGTTGTTAAAAAGAGCCACTGAGTGGGTTCCGACCCATAGTGACCCTGTACAGGGTTTCAGAGGAGCAGCTGGTGAGCTTGAACAGCAGATCTTGCAGTTCAAATGGCTTTGCAGTCTGGCGCATTAACCCACAGCGCCACAACTTTGGCCTAACCACAGTTAATCACCAGGGCACGCCCTTAACTTTAATGACTCTACTCCTTTGCTCCTGTCTGAAAAAAAAAAAAAAAACGAATACACAAAAACCCTGATTTGTCCTTTAAACTCACAGGAATTCAAAGGGGACTTTTCCTGCAACTTATCTTGGCACCCCAGTTAGGACTCCTCTAGCATATACAACAGCTTCCTCTGATGGACTCTAAGCGTCTGGAGGCTGAGCTGGTGTTTCATTCATCTTTACACTTCCTTCCATGGGCACATACCATTCACTGTGTTGAATTATTAAATTACTATTATATCAGGCACCAACCTGGCCTTCTGACTTAGTCAAAATCCATATATTAGCCAGAACCCCACCCCTGCACTTTTAGTGGTGACATGTCTCAACACTAACAACACAGGCGTCACGAGGCAACTGTGAACATTACCAAGGCCTCCTCCCCACCTCCTAAGATTCTGAGTTAAGAGGTCTAGGAATGGGGTTTGTAAAGCTCCCAAGTTGATTCTGTGTAAAACAGGGTTGAAAGGACTTCCGGCGCTTCCCTGACCGGGCAGCATAGGTGCGCGGGCTCCGGGGAAGGTGTGGGTGGTATCGCACAGAGGAGGCCCCCGCCTGGTAGACAGATAGCCTTTGGGCAAACGTAAGACTTTAGCCTTCAACATTGTGAACTTGCTTTTTTGAAGGATCAAGCTGCTGGGGAGTTGTGGGCATTTTGAGCTTCCGCCCGCCTACACTCAGCTCCTGCTCCGGGACTGCGCCCGACCACTGTGGAGCTTGGAGCACGGTGCTTGAGCGGACTCCTTCGGAGGGCGGGCGTGCCCAGAAAGCCAGCGAAGCCACAGGAACTGGCACGGTCCTTTGTGTGTGTGTGTGTTGTTTTTTTTTTGGGGGGGGTACTCATTGCCACGGGAAGCGTTGTCGGCATGGATGCAGGGTGGGTCGGATGCCCACGGTGCGGGGAGACAGAGAGAGGCATTTTTTTATGTCTGCAGACAGGAACACCATCTTTCTGCAGCCACTAACCCCACCCTCCACCCCCTTTGCCTAGGCTAGGCCTCTGCCCAACCTCTGAGGCTCAGGCCCGCCCATCAAGGCACAAGCCAGCACAAGCTGAGACGCCTTGAGGTGGTTTTTACTACCAGCAACAAGGCAGTCCTGCTGTGGCTCTGCGGGTTAAGGCACCAGACTGCAGAACCTTTTGAACTGCAAAGTTGGTGGTTCGAGCCCACCAGCTGCTTCTTAGAAACCCTATACAGGGTCTTTTGTGTGTGTGTGTGTGTGTGTGTGTGAGAGAGAGAGAGAGAGAGAGAGAATGAGTGACTAGAGATTGCCTTATTTAATCTTGTTGTTTTTTCTGATGCTGAATTTTTTTATTTATGTCTTGCTTTGTTTTTCTCTCATTATCACTATTGTTTTTGATTTTGACTAGAGACTGCCTTATTCAATCTTGTTGTTTTTTTCTGGTGCTGAATTCTTCTTTTTTCTTTTTTTTGTCTTGCTTTGTTTTTCTCTCATTATCGCTTTTGTTTATTTTGATTTTGGTTTTCTTTTCTACCCGACTGGTGTTGTCTTACTGTCACAAAGCCTCCCTTCTGCTATCAGAGGACTCTTTGTCTCCCTACAGTACATGTAGAGTCAGCAACTGCTGCCAAATACCCAAGCTGCAATAACATTTTATAAAACACCAAAACCCAGGCAAGAACCAATACCAGCTGCCATATACCAAGGAAACAGGCAACACCTGTGAAAGTTACTCTGAATTAAGCAATAAGAAGAGGGGAAAGGGAAGACCACATCCTGACTACATCTTCCTGGAAGGAATCAGAAAACATAAAAAAATACCAAAATACATACTCAATTAAGTATTAGGGCCACATATTAACATTAAACATGTCCAAGAAGCAAAAGCAGATGACCATATCAGCACATGTCCAAAAAATAGATAAAATATCTGAGACAAGTGATCCAGAAGCAGATATGGCCTCCATGCTGGAAGAAGGGCAGGCCTTGGAAATGCCTGAGAGAGAATTCAGAAAAATGATTATAAAATATTTCAAAACACTCTACAATGATGTTGAGAAAAATAAGGAAGAAGTCAGGAAAGTGCTACAGGAACAATCAAACAAGACAGATACAGCATTAGTAACAATCCAAAACCTACAGAAAGAGGTCCAAACGATCAATAACAAAATATCAGAAATAGGAACCACTCTGAAAGGGCAGAGGAGTAGAGCAGATGAAATGGAAGGAAGAATCAGTGAGCTGGAAGACAAGTCTCTCAACACCACTAAGATAGAAGAACAAACACAAAAAAGGGTAAAAAATTCGGAGGAAGTCTAAGATTCATGTTGGACAACATGAAGAGGAATAACCTAAGAATTACAGGCATTCCAGAACAAGAAGAATCACACAAGTCCACAGAGGAAATAGTCG